CCCCGTGGCCGCGCTTTTCGCGCCCGCTATGCTGCTGACGTTTGCCGATAGGGGCGCGTTTGCGCAATCAGTTCAGTTGCTTTTGGTTCGAGGTCTCCAGGGGGCGGGCCCCCCCCCGCCCCGGCAGCCCACCGTGCCCGACCTCTGGCTCAGGATCTCGAACCCACTGGACTCGCGCGAGGGATGTCTGGAATTGCTCCGGACCGCGGCCCATTCGACGGCTTCGACCTCGTGAGTTATGTGGAATTTCGGTGCTAGGTCTATCCTGAATTATTGCGCCGATCCTTTTGCCGGGAATGCCGCCGCCACCGCCGAAATTCCCCAGGGGCATGTTGCCGTGCGCGAAAAGTTGACGGCATGACTCAGATGGCCCGTCGTCGCTTGCTTGGGTTGATTCGCGAAGTTGCTTAAGATTGCAAGCGCCTGGTCCAGGATAGGGCAGGGGGGCCCCCGACCCGCCCGAAGGCCTTGCTCTCTCATGCCACAAGGAGGCAAAGGCTCCAGGCTGTGGGCCGCTCGGTCAAGATGTCTGGCTTGTCAGGCGCCGGGTTTCAGCACGTGCCTTGCCATTGCCATTCTGATGCGACGCGCAGCAAGCTTTCCGCGTTTGCAACTGGTCGGTGCTTGGGGGCGCGAGGGATAAGGTTTTCGGAGAGGCGCGAAGCTGCAAGTGCGCACCCAGAGCCCATCGCGAGCCTTCCTCTCATGACGCTCGCAGTCTGGCGCGGCGTTCTGTATAGCCGAATGCGCGGGGCGCTCATGGCCCAGGACTCCCACCTCCTTTCTGAGGGGCGCCCGCCAGGAGGCGTTCCCTCCAAGGCGGGCGCCAGTGCACCGTCACGACTCCACCCAGGCCTGCCGCCACAGTGCGGCGTGAGTTCCCCATGGCAGCGCCGCGCCGCGCCAGTCAGATCTTTCGCTTGCGCAACGGCTGCTGCGCAGAGTCTCGCTGCTAGAATTAGCGCCCGGGCCATGAAGAGGCAGCCGGTGCGAAATTCGATGGGCCTTGTCTTTCTGCGAGTGGCCGTTAGACAGAGATCAGAGGGGTCATTTGAGGGGCTGAACGAGGCCGGCGGGGGAGAAAGCCTCAAGATTGCATTCGGACGGCGGCGCGTTGCCGCCTGGCGCCCCCGCGCTTCGCATCGCCTTGTGAAATGGCGCCCCCGCTGTGGATGTTCCTGCGCGCAGCGGCGGCAGCGGCTGTATAGAGATCTCGCTGGTGACGCGGTGCAAACGCCCTGGCCTGACTAAGTAGGTCCCCGCCGCCCGCCCAACAAACATCCCCCGAGTCTTTTTCGTCGCCCTCATCAACCCTCGCTCCTTGCGCGCACGTGGCACTGACACCAGCGTGCCATCGTTTCTTGGACACCCAACTTCTCAGTTCCTCTCGCCCAAGCGGGGGAGGAGCAGCAAGAAGAGGAGGAGGAGGAGGAGGCGAAGGGGGTGGGAGTGTGGAGGACGAGGGAAAATAGTAATCTCAAGAAGAAAAAGAATGAATAATAAGAAGAAGAGGAAACCATACAATACGAAAAAAGAAGAAGAAGGAAACAAACCATACGAATAATAAAAAGAGGAAAAGGAGGAGGAAGAGGCGGAGGAGGACGAGAAGAAGATGAGGCGACTCCCTTCCGACAAGGACATGGCTCCAGCCTGCCCAGCTTGGGAAAGCCCTGCCAGCCGAGACGGCGCAGACCTGTCTCTCTGCACTGGTTGCGAGGACACCGAGGCGGCGCGCGGCGCGCCGCGCTCGCCTGAGCACTCTTCCGTTGCTGCCGCCAGATTCCTCTTCCTCCTCCTCGTCCTCCTCCTTTTCCTCCTCCTCCTCCTCCTCCTCATGCTCCTCCTCCTCGCCCTCCTCCTCCTCCACCTCTTCCTCCTCCGCTTCCTTCTCCTCCTCATCCTCCTCTTCTTCATCCTCCTCCTCTTCCCCTCCCCCTCCTCCTCCTCCTCCTCCTCCTCCTCCTCCTCCTCCTCCTCCTCCTCCCCTGTCGCACTCCGAGGCCAGTTTTTAAGGCGGGGAGGGCGCTTCGCCTGAGATTTCCTCACCATTGTATGACCCTGAAGCTTCAAAAGTGGCAACAACTTCACAGATGAAGGGCGGGCCTTTTTTCCAAATGTGGCTCTCTCTTCAGCGCCGCGCACATTCGGTTTCACGAATTGCAGGAGCTTCTCAGATGGACGGCGACTCGTTTTCAAAACGTGGCTCTCGCCCCAGCGTCGCGCACATTTTTCCTCATACAAAAACTTCACGGATGGAGGGCGGGTGGTTTTCAAAATGCGGTTTTCGCTTCAACGTCGCGTGCATTTTTCTATAAAGTTGCACGAGCCGCACGGATGGAGGGCGGGTGATGTTCAAAATGTGGTTCTCGCCTCTGCGCCGCGCACATTCGTTTTAAACATTTGCAAAAGCTTCACGGATTGAGGGCGGCTCGTGCTCAAAATGTCGTTTTCGTGTTCGCGCCGCGCACACTCGCTTTAAACATTTGCAAGAATTTCACGGATGTCCATGATCAACGTACCCGAAGTTTCGTTTTGGAAGGGTTCATGGTTATGAGGGTCAACAATTACGTTGATTCGCGGTGTTGAAGTCCCAAGAATGGCGTGTTGGAACGATTCAGGATCGTCAAAACGCAAGTGTCAGGTTGACCCGTGGCGTTGGAATCCCGAGAACAATGTTGTGGTTTGCTTCAGGGTCTTCAAACGGTCTCCTTCCAACGAAGTAGTTCCCTCTCGAAATCAGCCGTTGTAGGGGCCTATGATGAGAGAGTTTGCAGGGAGGGTTGATTCCAACATCGTTGGTGATTCTTGAGTTTACATTGGTGCTCCTCCTCCTCCTCCTCCTCATCATCATCATCCTGCTCCTCCTCCTCCTCCTCCCTTCCCCTCCTTTTTTAGATCCTTCTCAGCATTCTCCTGGCGTTATCCATTCCCCTGTCTTGTACGGTCAGGAACTTTGGCTTGGCGCGTCGCGCCGTTGGTTGTGGCCCGCCACCCCGCGGGACGACTCTAGGCCTGTCAGATGGGGTCCGAGTAGATGGGATCGGAGGTTCGCGCCGCATCGTCGGTGCATCGGCGATGCGGCTCGATGCGGAGCCTGATTTGCGCCGCGCTGGCGCCGCCGATGCTCCGCCAATGTCGCCGATGCGTCGCTGATGCATCGGTGATGCATCGGTGATGCATCGACCATGCGACGCGATCCTCCGACCCCATCCACCTGGAACTTCTTTAGGAGGCCTCTAGGTCAGGAGCTTTGGCTTAGCGCGTCGCGCCGCTGGTTCTGGCCCGCCACGCCTCGGGACGACACGCTGACCATGTCAGTCCCCAAGCGTCAGCGTCCCGAGCGTTTCCCGCCGTCCCGCCCCGCGGAGCAGAGCGACACCCCATCCACTTGCGGCGGGGAGCGGGAAGGCGAACGGGCACGCAACGAAAGATTTTTTCGGGCGGTCACGCTTTTGGCTCGCGCCTACTGAATAGCTCTGGGTGTCTGTCAAGTACCAGCGGCCTGGCGTTTAGTCGGCGACTGGAACGCAGACGCCGTTAGGAAGGGCCTCAGACTTGAAGGGGCCGTGGTGGGCCTTGGCGTTCACGGCGCCGACTGACCGAATTACAGCTGGCCGAAGCGAGTAAAAATTCGCTGTCTCGGGGAAGATGCGGCGGCCACCCAATGAAGCGGGGACACGGACATGAACGCGTGGAAGGTCTTGGACTTGCCGCCAGGACCATCGTGCCGCCGTGTACACCTTTGACCTGGATCATGAGTTCGGGGCGTCTTGGGTGCCCGTCGGGGCCTCGCTGTTTGTTTCTGTGGGGCCTTTGGACGCCCTGCATGGATCGTGAGTCGATGGCCTCTGGAAGCTTTTGTTTCTGGGAATGCCGCATAGGACGTAGGCGCGAGACCTCCCATACGCTTCTGGGGTCTATTGGGAAGCCTCTTGCGGACCTTCTGGAAAACATGTTGGGGGGCTCTGGGGGCCTGTTGTGCCTTTGGGGGGGTCCTTAGGGGGGGGGTGAGCTGTCTGGGGGCCGTCTTGGGCCGTTTGAGAGGGAGTTGGGGCCGTCTTTGGGCCCTTTGGGGCCTTCTTGGGCCGTTTGGAGGGTCTCCTATGGTCCTCTTGGGGTTCCCTTGGAACCCCTTCGGGACCCTCCCAGGCCTGTTTTGGACAGTCTTGGGGTTCTCTTGGGCCGTCTTGGAGCCCTCTTGGGCCGTTTTGGGGCCGTCTTGGGGGCCTCTTGGGTTGTCTTGGGCCAATCTTAGGGTTCCTCTTGGGTCGTCTTGGACGCTGTGAGGACCGAAGACGCGAATAAGCCGAAAATGTACGCTTCCCAACGGGTCTTCGACGATGCTTGCATCTTGGGCTTCTTGGGGGGCCTCTTGGGCCGTCTTGAGGGCTTCTGCTGCCGTCTAGAGGCAGTCTTGGGCCCTCTTCGGCCAGCTTGGGAGCCTCCTGGGCCGGTGCGTGGGGCGTTTTTGGTTGTCCGGGAACCTTCCCCGCAGGTGTCCTTGGACCTGGGAACACCGTCCGAAAGGTAGGGGGGTGAGGGGTGACGGCCATCCAGGGGGGGGGATTTCTCCATGCAGGATGCTTCAAACAAATAAGAATGCGGTTGGTACCTTCATGCGTATGTGTATGCACAAATGGCCCGCGGCCCCTTGGCCCCATCGCATTTCGTCGTGGTCGGCTTACCTCCGCTTTCGGCCGGTGTCTGGGCCGTCCCGGTGAAGTCAGCCTACGCTTCTACGAGCAGTGACGGCACCGAAGACATACCCAGTGCTCCCCGTTTCCGGCCGACCGAGCACACAGCTGCTGTGGTCTGGGTCGGCCGAGGAGAACGGGCACTGCATGTACAGCTCCAGATAGGGAACGTCCACCGCCGCTTTTTTCCTCACAGCGCTGCGGGCCACGCCGCCGAACCACGCCCACGGAGTGCGCACCGGCGCGGCGCGGGAGCATGTCCGTGCGTCCGCCTCCCCGCCCTCTCCCGCTCCATCCCGCGCCGAGGCTGGGCGACGAGAGGCTGCTCCGATTCGCGCGCCAGTACCCAGAGCTGCTCGGACCCCCGCGCGCTCGCGCGCTCGCCGGCCAACCCGACAGCCACAGCGCGCGAGGACAGATGAGGGCGAGGCGTCCCAGGGACCTCTTGCGTCGAAAGAAGATCGCAACGGCCGGCTTTTCCAAGCCTGGGCCTCGGGAGGCCAGCTTCCTCGCGGTCTTTCCGCAGGTGTGGTCTGGGCTTCGCACATGGGGCCCGAGAGGTGGGTCGGAGGATCGCGCCGCATCGCCGATCCATCGCCAGTGCGGCTCGATGTGGAGCCCGATTTTCTCCCCGTCGACGTCGCCGAAGCACCGCCGACGTCGCCGATTGCCCATGCATCGGCGATGCATTTGCGAGGCGGCGCGATCCTCCGACCCAACTGTTCGGACCCCACCTAGGAGGGCTCTATCTATATGGGGCGTCGGAGCCAGGCGGGCCAACAGTGCCAGAAAAAGGGTGCCGCAGGACTGTGAAGTGGGCGGTTGTACCTGGCATGAGTAGGACGCAGTTGTCTTAAGGGAGCCGGCGGGCCTCCAAGGACGGGCCCCGGGACCATGGAAGGCCATGCAGGGCAAATCGTTGGTCCCAGGATCGGGGTCGAAAGGTCTTTGGCCCACGGCGTGCAAAAACAGACGACCTCGGAGGTCTGGGGCGAGGCGCCCTGCCGAACGCAAGACGGACGCAGGCTTCTGGGAGGCGTGCCAGGCGACGGCGAGGGAGAGTTAGGGGCAGGGGCGGGGCGGGGAGAAGGGGCTCTCCTCGGGGAGCGCACAATGACATAAACATAAAAACTCACAGGTCCGCGCGGATTCCTCGGATCCGCGCTGGACCCCCCCCCCTGGCGGCGCCTCTGGCGCCGTCCCTGGCGCGCTTCGCGCGCCAGGGACGGGGGTCCAGCGCCGATCCGAGGAATCCGCGCGGACCTCCGAGTTTTCATGCTTCTGTCACTGCTTGTTCCCCCGTGGGCGAGGAGGCTGTGTCCGAGACGGCGCCGGGCGACGGCGAGGCGGGGGGAGAGCGGTCGGCGGGGCTCGTCGGCCAGGGCAGGTGAGGAAGCTTCGGGCGAAAGGTCCGGAAGAATGAGGGGGAGGGTTGACCCCTTTGTTTCCCGCTTCCCCTCGCTGTGAACACAAAAAAGTACACGTTGGCGGGGTTTGGCAATGTTCGATTCCCCGGAGCTCCCTCACTGGGCCCTGGGACCGTCACAAACGGCTCAGGATAAAAATATGATCCTTGGGATAGGGTCCGGACCTCCAGGAGTCCACAAAAAACGGCGTCGGAGGCATGTGTTCTTCGAGGCGGATCAGGCCTTGGCGACGAGAGACCTCCCACGGGGCCCAGGAAAGCCAGACGACACAGTGGAGGGCCGCTGTTGTTTCGACGGTCGGGTCGGGCGAAGAAGGGCGATCGAGAAGGTTGGGGTACCAGATCTGCCGCGTGCAGCTCGTTTCGTCGTCGACGCCGGGCGCCTCTCCTGGATACACATGTGGTGCCTCCGGCGCCAGGAGGCGCCGTGAAAACCAGTTGCACGAGCTGATTCGCTAACCCCACCATTAATATTAAATCGGGCCTGTCCCTCTACAGGAGGGAAGAAACAATAGTCTGGGGAAGAGTTTTGGAGCAGTTTTGACCATTTGGGGGTATTTTCTATTATTTCTAATTTTTCGTCCAAGCTCCCCCTGTAGGAGGACAGGCCCGACTTAACATGAATGCAGTCAGGAACGTTTGCTTAGCGTGTCGCGCCGCTGGTTCTCACCACGCTTCGGCGCGACACCTCCAACCATTTCCCAGCCCCCGAGCGTCAACGTCCCGAGCCTCTTCCAAGCCTCCCGCCCCGCAGAGCGGAGCGACACGCCATCAGCTCGCAAACCATAGCTTGTGGCTGGGGCCGCCGCCGCGTGACGCCGAGCAAGAGTTCCTGACCGTAGCGGCGCACCTCAGCGCATTCAGGGCTCCCAGGGCAACGGGGCATATACATACCCACTGCCCCTGGGCACGCCTGGTTCGAATCAAATTGAGACGCGAGGATCTCAGGGCTCGTCCGACCCGAGACGTCGAAGAACAGAAACGGCACAATTAGCCATAAACGCTTGAGGTTCCGCGTGGATTTCGAGGATCTGCGCGGGGCCCCCCATGGCGGCGCCTCTAGCTCGCCAGGGAGGGGGGGGCCTGGCGACAACCCAAGAGATCCGCGCGGACCTGCGAAGGCTGATGCTTGCAGTCAACCCGCATGGCAAGGATGGGCAACCTCCCCAAGGGTACCCTTGCGTCCTTGCCTCCTCGGCCTCATCCTTGGCCACTTCCGTTGGCCGCGCCCCGCTCCGAAAGCTCCGAAGTGGCCTTCCAGGGCCATTGTACCCTTGTCGCGCATCCTTACTACACGGGTTCACTGCAGCTGCTTTTTGCTCCTCTACGATTGTCCCTCCTCCGATCCCATGGCGCCAACATCGCAGAGCGGATCTCTTTGGAACACAAAAGGATGGGCCCAGAGTTTCCTAGAGAATTCCGTTCCAGATTTCGGAGTGAGTTTGGCGCGGATGTTTCTGGTGGCCAGGAATGAAGCCTACGAAAAATCCACGTGGAATTCCCTTCGCTTTTCGCTCGCCGTCTCGGGGCTTTTTACATTTAACGGGAATCCACGCACAAAATCCGCGGCAGCACGCCTGCAAGGTCGGTGCAGTGACCGACCCGTGCCCGCGCTGGCGCTCCGCCGCGCGCGGGGCGCGCCGCCCGCGGCGCATTGGGAGGAGCCCGCGGCCGGCGGGCGCGGCGCGCGGCGAAGCGCTCCGGCGCTCTCCGCGGAGGGCGGGGCGGCCGGCGCACGGCGAGGGCTCCCCGCGCGCGCGCGCGGGCAGCCCGAGCTGTGAGGCAGGCAGGTCCCTTTGCAGGAGGATTTTTTTCGAGAGTAGCAAAAACAGGGTCAAGGAGCTGTGGTTCGTGCTCGTCTGGCCATGTCTGAGCATCTGTTGGCCCCTTTGTTCCCCAAGCAGTGCTTGCACTGAAGGGGTCCTAGCGGAAGTTGGAAGATTTGGCAAAAGTTTCCCGCCGATTTTGGTAGCAGGCTGGGTTCCCGGGTTCCCGGGTTCCGGGTCATTGGTTCCGGGCCGATTTCGGTGGGTTCTGGGTTCTTGGGCTCCCGGGGTCCCGGTCGACCTCTTCAGCGAAAACCATCCACTGATTGGGTTTTCTTTGGTGTAATTATATTCTTCCTCCGAAAAACCCGCCTGTGGGAGCACATGCCCGACCGAACCCGAGGGGGGGGGCAGGAGCGGTCGACCGGAGATGGGGCCAGGGTTCGCGGGGCGGGGGCGGGATAGGAGGAGGAGGAGGAGGAGGAGGAGGAGGAGGAGGAGGAGGAGGAGGAGGAGGAGGAGGGGGAGGAGCAGGGGGAGAAGGAGGAGGAGAAGGGGGAGGAGTAGGGGGAGGGGAGCAGGATGGGGAGGTGGTCCTGGAGCTCTCGCCCCCCTCCCCAGGATCTGCTTTTTCGTCCCCGAGCATGACTTCCTCAGGGCCAGGGCCCGAAGTTGGCGACAAAGGCGGCGGCGTGACTTCAAGGATCACGGCGCCAGGGTCCCAGAGCAGCAGTTGCGCTCCGTGGGCACCTGGGAGGAGCACGTGCCAGCACCGATGCAGGGCCCGCCTCCGCCCAGCAAGGAGAGGGCGGGGACGCGATGCCCAGCGTCGGCTGTGTCCGCGGCTTCGTGGCTGCCGCCCGCCCCCCGCGTGCCTCGCGCACTTCGGCCCCGCCCGTGCCGAAGAGGATGATGAGAAAGAAGAGGAGGAGGAGGAGGACGAGGATGAGGAGGAGGAGGAGGACGGTGCACGGCGCGCTGCGCATCTTCATCAGGGTGGGCAGGCCTGGTACGCCGCAGCCACGCGCCAGGAGGAGGAAGAGGAGGGGGAGGAGGAGGAGGAAGGCTAGAGTCAAGTCCAGCGCAAACGAGAGATGCCGCATCACGCCCTCTCGTCCAAAGCCCCCTTCCCCATGTCCACGCCATTGCAAGTTGTCCCCTATCAGTGCGGCGCGCACCCGCAGGAAAGCCAAGGGCGCCATGGACCTGCACGGTTATGATATAGAAGTGTGTGTGTGTGTGTATGTGTGTGTGTGTGTTTGGAAACGCGCGCAAACAATGTGTTCGAGATTCGCTGTACAGCGCCACTACTCACACTGAGCCTGAGGGAGAGAGAGAGAGAGAGAGAGAGACAAAAAACATCGTAACAATAAAGACATACAGAGAAATGCAACAACCAGGAAAAGAGACAGATAAATATAACGAGAGCGAGAACGAGGGAGAAGAAACAAGGAGGTAACAGCAACAACAACCACAACCACAACCACAACCACAACCACACCCACAACAATAACCACAACCACAACCACAACAACAAACATCAGTTTAAGACTGTTCGCCCTTATTTCCCAAACCCTCGATACCCGCCCTCTTCGTCTTCGATCGAACCCCTTTTAGGGGGTATACCTTTCTTCCCTGCAGGCCGGGCCCCGGCAAGCGGCGGGGCGGCCGCGGACCGTCGGCCTGGCCAGCGGCAGCGCTGATCGGCGGAGCGGCCGCGGACCGTCGACCCGACCCGACTCGACCCGACCGTCGACGGACAGGGGACCGACCCCGACGACGACGGCAACGACGACGACGACGACGACGTCGACGACGACGACGGCGACGACGACGACGACGACGACGACGACGGCGACGACGACGACGACGACGACGACGACGACGACGACGTCGACGACGACGACGGCGACGACGACGACGACGACGGCGACGACGACGACGACGAGCGAAAGCGAGAGCGAAAGAGAACGACAGCAGGGCCACAAGGACACGAAGTAGGCCACGAAGGGCAACAGCGGGGACACGAAGGGAAAGCGTATGGGGCCACGAAGAGCACGAACGAGTGGGGGCCACGAAGGGCAGATAATGCGGGGCCACAGAAGGCAACGATGGGGCCACTGAGGGTAGCAACTGGGCCACGCAGGACAGATGCATATGGGGCCACGAAGAGCACGAACGAGTGGGGGCCACGAAGGGCATACATAGATGGGGCCACGAAGGGCAGCGAGGGGGCCACGAAGGGATGCAACGGGGCCACGAAGGGCAGCGAGGGGGCCACGAAGGGCTGCAACGGGGCCACGAGGGGCTGCAACGGGGCCACGAAGGGCAGCGAGGGGGCCACGAAGGGCTGCAACGGGGCCACGAAACAAAGCGAGGGGCCACGAAGGGCAGCGAGTGGGCCACGAAGGGCTGCAACGGGGCCACGAAACAAAGCGAGGGGGCCACGAAGGGCTGCAACGGGGCCACGGAGGGCAGCGAGATCCCGATTCCTATGTAATCTGTGAAGCAAGTCTCCAGCGAGAGCGCGATTCCAGAGCGCCTGGGAGAATAAATTTTAAGGAAGTCCCAAGCGAGAGCACGATTCCTAAATAAGACGCGAGGAAGTCTCGGGCGGGAGCGGGGGTCCTGGCTAAATTGTGAGAAAGTTTCAGGCGGGAGCCGTTAATGTCGTAAGCCGGGGGCCAACGACACAAATTGACGCTCAAGAGTTTCCATGATGAAAAACAGGGTGCGAGCCCGGGGGAGAGCACTTCAATTGAAAAACCAATGTGCACCGGACGAGGGGGATTAACAATAATTATTCTTCAGAAATGAGAGTTCCACAATCAGGTTAAGACTGTTCGCTCTTACTGGCACGCGTGTCTTGCATCTTGTATACCCCTACCCTCGATACCTGCCCACTTCGTCTTCGATTGCGCCCCCTTTTCGGGGGGATATATTCCTTGTCGGCTACTGACTGAAGGGCGAGGAACTCTCGAGCGAGAGTGCCGCTGCTGAGTTCAAGGGCATCTCTGGCAAGCGTTTTTCGGAATACACATGGATAAATATAGAACGGGAATCCTTGTCGCCGTGTCTGGGCCTCTACCAACTTGCCTGCATTACGAGAAAGTCTCGCGCGAGAGCGCCACTCTTGAGTTCGGGGGCCTCACTGGCAAGGGCCTTCGCGAATACATTTTGAAGAAGAATCGAACGAGTTCCCTTGTCGTCGCAGTTGGGCCTCCACCAGTTTGATTGCATCACGAGAAAGTCTCGAGCGAGAGGGCCGTTCCTAGGTTCGGGGACCATCCTGGCCAGGGGCTCTCAAAGTAAATCGTGGGGAAGTATCGAGCAGGAACCTTTGTCGTCGTGGCTGGGCCTCCGCCAACTTGGTTGAGTTGCGAGGAAGTCTCGAGCGAAAGCGCCGTTCATGAGTTCGGGTGCCTTTCAGGCCAGGGTGTCTCGGGGTAGATTGTGAGGAGGTATCGAGCGAGAGCCGTTGTCGTTGTAGCCGGGGCTCCAAGGACCCACACTTACACTCAAGCCAACGCTCGCGCGGGAGCCTCGTTTTCAGAGAAGATGTAGCCGGCGTCGAGGCGAGAGCGCGCGGAACCGTTTCCGGAAGATCAGCAACAATAACTGTTCTCTGGAAACGAATATCCAATGGCAGTTGCACCACGCAGTTCGCAGGGCTCTTAGAGAGCGTGCGCAGCGCCAGGGCGCGAGCCACCTCCTGAAGAGGCACCGCCGCTTCCGAGGCCCCCCCCCCCACGGCCTCCGACGGCCGCCGACGGCCTCCGACTTCCTCCCGAGGGCCCTGGGCCCCTGACGGCCTCCGACGGTCCCCGACTGCTTCCGCTGGCCCCCGGCGGCCTCCGAGAGCCTCCGACGGCCTCCGATGGCCTCCGAGGGCCTTCCGAAGGCCTTCCGAGGGCCCTCCGACAGCCTCTCCGACGGCCCCCGACGGCCTCTCCGGCGGCCTCCGAGGGCCTCCGACGGCTTCCGAGGGGGGGCACTCCGCAAGCCAGCAGGCGCCAGCGCGCGCGCGCGCGCTCGCCAGGAGTGGAGCCCTGGAGGAACGGCCGCCACCGCATCGTCTGCAGCTCGCCCGCCGAGCAGCCCGGCCCTGCGGCCAAGGGCGCCGCGGGGCCCAGGGCCATCGGGTGCTCCCGGGGGGGGGGCTTCTGCCGCTCGGGTGCGCGGCCTTGGTCGGGGGCGGCGCTGGGCGGAGATAGGTTCAGGAATAGTTTCGTGATGCTCCTCTTCCTCTTCCTCCTCCTCCTCCTCCTCCTCCTCCTCCTCCTCATCATCATCATCATCAGCATCATCAGCATCGTCACCATCATCATCACCATCATCAGTATGTATCATCATCATCATCATCATCATCATCATCATCATCATCATCATCATCATCATCAGCAGCAGCAGCAGCATCCTCATCATCGTCATCGTCATCGTCATCATCGTCATCATCATCATGATCATCAGCATCATCATCAGCGGATTCCCTTCGGGGATCATCCGTTAAAATTGGAACGATACAGAGAAGATCAGCATCATCATCAGCAACACCATCGTCATCATCATCATCATCATCATCATCATCATCATCATCATCATCATCATCATCGTCACCATCATCATCACCATCATCATCATCATCATCAGCAGCATCATCATCATCATCATTATCATCACCATCATCATCATCATCCAACTCCTCATCTTCATCCTTATCCTTATCGTTATCGTCCCCACATCCTCCTCCTCATCCTCCTCATCCTCCTCCTCATCATCCTCATCCTCCTCCCCATCATCCTTATCAGCAGCATCATCATTATCCTCATCCTCCGATTCCTCGTCCATCACATCCTCATCCTTGTCGTTATCGTTCTCACATCCTCCTCCTTTTCCTCATCATCATCATCATACTCCTCCTACTCCTCCTCATCGTCCTCATTCTCCTCATCCTCCTCATCCTTGTCGTTATCGTTCTCACAACCTGACAGAACCCCTGTCGGGCGAGAGGACCAGGAACGCGCGGCCTCGCTATCGCAGTCCTCTCGCCGATGCATCGGCGATGCATCGCGAATTCCACGTTGATGTTGCCCTGCCTGAGTCAATCCTTCCCCGATCGCTTCCCTCCAGAGGAGGAGACGGAGGCTTAGCCTGGCCCTCCCAGGCGGCGTGCCTCTTCCCGCCCTCCATGAGCATGACCCTTCTCCTACTCTTCCTTCTCCTCCTCCTCCTCCTCCTCCTCCTCCTCCCCCGACCACGGCGACGACGACAACGAACACGGTGACGCTGACGACGACCTCCCGGCGACGACATCCCGATGACGGTGTCCCTCCAACGACGACGACGACGGTGACCCTCCCCCCGACGACGACGCCTGCACCAGCGCCTCCCTCATGGGCGACGACGACGACGACGAGGACGGCGAGGACGACAACGACGACGACGACGACGACGACGGCGACGACGGCGACGGCGACGACGGGCGGCACGGGGGCACCCCAGGCGCGCGGAGCCCGGAGCCACGCTGCCGCGGCGTGCGGACGAGAGGGCGAGGCACGCGCTGGGGCAGCTGGAGCGAGAGCTGGTCAGAGGGAGAGGGGGGGGGTTCTCGTCCTTCGAGCAGAGGCGAGGCGCCCAAGCACGCCTATAGGCTTAGGTCGGGCATGTCCCCCTACAGGCTGATTTGGGACGAAAAATTGAAAACAGTCAAAAAATACACCCAAAATGGTCAAACATAACACAAAGTCGTCCCCATATAATTTTTTAACTATTTTTAAACATCCCCCTGTAGATTACATTACCAGTGGCAGGCTGTTTTTCAATCCCCGGATTTTTTGGAGGGTCGGGGACGACGTCGGGGTGGTGTGGTATATGCTTGTTTCCCAGTTTTCCCGAGGAAACAACGAAACATGTATACACCAGGATGCCGTATACACCAGAAGCCGCTTTCCTGTGCGAATCTCAGTGCGGGACCGGAGAAAAGCATCGGTGTATAAAGTTCGGTGCCTTACTTCCTTCGAGCAGAGACGAGGCGTCCAAGCTCGCCTACAGGCCTACCAAATAATGCTCTAAGAACCTTTTTGTGTGGTCTGCGCGACACGTTCTCCGAACGCTTCTGGCTGACACCGTCTCGTTTTAACGCATCGGGCATTTTGGGGTTCTAGGAACATGTCGTGGTAGGACTACAGAAATGCCGGGACGGGCGGTAGCTGCTCAATTCCTGTTTCTCCTCCTTTGTTTTTACGTTGGGCGAACTTGAGCGCCTCGGCTGTAGCAGTCTGAGAGGCAGTGATCTGTTTCTGCGAACAGGAAGTGCACAGTCTCGTGTTCAAAATTACGGCTGCTGCCAGTGCGGACGTCAGATATGCAGAAAGAAATTGTCAAAGATGAGGTGCCTGTGTGGACGCTGAGTGATTAAGCAAGCTGACAGGGGAAGCAGGGATAACAACATTAATTCAGCACACAACAATACAAAAAACAATAATTGAGCGAGCAAGAGGAAACACGCTGCAACTGCACAGTAACTTCAGTAGGAAGCAGGCCTGCTTAAAGCTCGTCAGGTATCGTCGTGGGCCAGTGCCGCACGGGTAGAGATGGTCGCTTGAACATTCACTTCCGCCCCACCAAATACCACAGCCCCAAATGTAGTAATAAAGATAACAAAACAGGCGACAGTCTCAAACGAAAGTGGACATGGGCACTACAAGGCTAGTCGGCAAACCACAGTGGGAGAGTAACCTAGCCATGCAGATGGTCAAAATGACGTTGAAAGAGATCGTAGTGACCGCGTGTACCATCCCACCCTGATCATTTCTCAGCGAACCTCCCCTATTTTTCATTTCGTGTAGTATGAGATCAGGCGACTGAATGCTGGACATGGGCCAGCTGGCGCGTGAGAGTTTTGAATTCACGACTTGCGGGTTGACTGTATGACTTCGCAGAGCGGGCAAGAGTTAAAAACACCAATCTATGGATTGGCGCTGTGCACGCTAGACTGCGATAGTGTATTCAGTCGTGTCATCAACGGAAATCCGTCGCACGACCTTAGCAGTGTCCCACATGTTGAGGCCATCCCCCTGCAACTGATGGTGGCCCGACGAAGCATGACGTAATAATGGAGCGCTGCAGTGGGATAAGGGCGGGAAAACAGAATTCAGCAAAGAGACCTACGAGGCGTACTACACACAACACACTCACATGGCCGTCGTAGGTGCGGACGTGGTGGACTGCGACGGGCAAGACATTCTGGTTGGTACCATTTGGATACGCAGTGGACAGTGTCCAGTCAGCATGCCCCTGCCTTAAGATATAGTATGCTTGTGTGGCTTCCTTAGTAAAAAGCGCGTGGCAAACTTACGTGGCCCGTTTGATTAGAAACCCCCGCCGGCCACCGAACAACCTCCCCACCCGAAGGGTTTCCGCGCAGCATGGACAAATACAACGCAGCTAGGTTCTAATGGTCACGAATGAAATGCGAAGTCCGTTTGCAACGCGACATGGTATAGATCCGGCTAGCGTCGTGCAGGCTAGCTTGATGCAGTTCGGCTGTCGTGTTTCCCCCAAGCACCTCCGTATCCGAACAAGTTCCCTCCCTCCACCAGGTATTTCGTTCATGTGGTTGAATGTAGGCTGGCATTGACAGATAAGGCAGAACGATACGTGATTTGGCTGGCCAAAATTACGTGCACTGTAACAAGTATGACATGCGAAAAAGCACCCCTCGGTTTCATGGCTGGGTTGCCAGTGCAGGCGGGAGAGGAACGGCATGGCGTCTCAAATTCGCAACGGCATGCCGCTTCCTGTCAGCAAGTGATCGATTGGCATAGGGAGTGAGATGGGTCATGCCGGGTTCCTGGGACGGCGCGGGGCCCCTGGAAGTAGAAGGGCCCCCCCCGCGGAGACCCAGGGAGGGGTATCGTAACCCGCTCCATCACCACCTTCACAACGAAGTGGCTCCTCTGCAATTGTGGTTTGTACTGCCTGGCCGCGAAAGCACAAAACGAATCAACTTGAGAAGGGGGGAAATTGCAACGTGGGGGTGGCGCCTAGAGACAAGAGGTAAATCAGGTGAAAGATCCAGAAGGCTATGCTGCTCTGCTTGCGCAGTCGGAGCAGGGATCTTACATTGAACTGCAACTTGGAAAGGTTAGAGCGAGAGTGTCAGAAGTGCGCCTACAGCGGGGCCAAGTCCCCGGCGATCAGGTGAGCGATATACGAGCTCACATCCCTTCCTCCAAGTCCCAACTAGCACCCGAAATCAACCCATAAATCGGAGAGAGCATGTATACAACAGTGGCAGCAGGTACAGGAGGTATCTGGCACGGGCACCGCCAGGTCCTCAGGGCATGAAGAAGGATCATGGGCAGAGACCCGCGCAGCCTAGTGAGGGAGGCGACAGAACGTGGATCTCAATAGTAGCGGCCATTCGAGCAAAGCACGGAGATAACGAAACGCGGAGGAACACGGACGCGCAAGCATTGCGAAGGGAATTGAGGTACAGAGAAGGATAGGCTGCCTCTGAAGAGGCACAGCCCACGCGGCCATTGAAGCTCTCGGAGCAGTAAATGTCGACGACGCGAGGCAGTAGACATTTTATATGTCTGCTGTCCTCTTCAGCGCAGGGAATGTCATTGAAGCGCGTGGCGTTGCTATTGTCGACGACGCGGAGTCAGGGACAGGTGCAGCTGCAACAGGTAATCCCCAGCGCCGCGCCCGTCCTGGCCGCGGCGTCAGGCACTTCGATTTGGGAGTTGGCGGTGCTTTTGTCGGCGGCGAGCTCGCGAGGAGTCGATGGTGAGTCAGTTGGTCCTGATAGGTGTATTTCCGCATGTCTGCCACGCGCCCCCCCCCCGTTACTGGCGGCGTGCCCGAAGCGCACCAAGGTATTTATTCAGTGGTGTGCCCTCGTAGCCGTTGGCGTCGAAAGCGTTGCCGCCTGTGAGGATCGGAGAAGAGTTTTTTGGCCATCTTTCAGTGGTGATGGTGCTTTCGGCGGGGTCGCGCGCTGCGATGGTTGCCCGGGCCGGGGGTTTTCGGCGCGCGGGTGGAACATCGATGGGCCAGCCGAACTTGGCCGCCGATGCACCCGGTGGTGGAACGACTACTCTTGGGCGTGATCAGTCGCGCGGTTTGGGAAGTCATTATGATCCGCAGTTGGAGCCGCAGCGTCTGCTTGCGCGTCGGGGGTTTTTGGTTCTGTTGGCGAAGCTAGTTGTTCAGGCGCTCACAAGGCTGACGCGAGAGAATCCGCATTGCTGACCGAAGAACATGAATTCGAAGTACTGGTTGTGATGTCTGCTGCGCGCTGCGTCGACGGCTCGTCGTAAACGCTGATCTTCGGTAGGTCCACCCCCAGTCTCAAATCCAGAAGATGTGGAGCCACTGTGATGCTGTTCCACGGGCCGCAGTGACTCTGGCGTCGGGCGTCGTTCCGCGTCGTGAGAGCCTATCGCGACTGTATTGGTTGACCTAGTGCCACTCCGACGTGAAGTCGAGGTCTGTATCTGTCCAGCACGTTTTTGACCCGGCCGCCGCGTCTCACCCTGGGCGTCTGCGCGAGGCGTGGAGGTGGTGGCGATGGCATTGTGGTGGAATATGTTAGCCAGTTTTCGTCGCACTCTTAAGCATGAGTCATCGTATTGGCGCTGCTGGGGGCATCGTGAAGTGCGTTAGCGGCACTGATTGCAGGTCGGGTCGTAGCGGTGGATGCGGAAGCTCGCATGGGTAATCGACGCTGACGGGGTGTTACAAGTTGTTTTCGTCGATGTGTCTGTACCACCCGTTGAAATGGAGGTGGTCGTTGGGGAACCGGCGCGTGCCGGTGCTTTCGCAATCGCAATAGGTCGCGCAGTCGAATCGATTGTCGCGCGTAGCGATATAATGTTGTTCATTCTGGTGGGCAGCGCATGTGGTTCGGTGGACGTGGACGTAGCGACGTTCGTGCAAATGGGGGCGTGTTCTTCGCCGTAGTAGCCGCTGTCGCTGTCGTCGCCGTGCCCAGTATCATCGGTTGGCGTCGTCGGCGCAGCCGTCCGGTGGCGCCAGAGGCGCATGTGGCGGTGGCCATGTTGTCGAAGTCGGCTGCGCGATATGGACCTGCGACAGCCGCTGGCGCCGGCGCGCGCGACATGAGCGGGGGGGCCTCGAGGTGCGCTGCTGGCGCGAGCACTTTGGGCCCCAGCGGCGGGGCCGGGGGCGGCGGTGGTGCTGGTTGCGGAGGTTGGCCTCGGCGTTCATTGATTTGGCTCGCGAAAGTTGATGCGCGGTAATAGATGGCTCGGTAGCACGTGCCCCGTGCAGCGCCCCCATTGCTTGTCTTGGTATTCGCATTCCGTCTGCCCTGCTCGACATTGTTCTAAGTGCGGGGCCGCCATCTGGCCGCGCCGGTGGCCCCCCCCGCGTCTGCGCGGCGCCCTCCGATCCTTCCAGCAGCTCGGAGTTGGAAGCGTCTGCCGTTGGGCGCGGCGCGCGCGGGGGGGCCGCGGGGCCGGTCGTTCGCTTGCATGGGCGGCGTGACTGGAACTGCGCGGTGTTGCGGGTGAATCGCAGCGATG